CCCCCCCCCCCCCTGCAACCAAGACAATACAGGGAAGTATAATATGTACATGTACCAAACCACTTTTGATACTCACATGCAGTTGCTTCTTCCATTTCTGCTAGAGCAGCTAACAAAGTAGAGAAATGAAAAATCACAGTTACACACCAGTAGATAGTAAAAATGCTGTGATGTTATAAGAGAAATGTGTGTCCCATAGTCTGTCAGCACTGTGCGGAGGGGATGTGATTGAGCCACAACAAAAAAATATCTCGAAGCAAATAAATAAACGTGTGGACAGACTACACGTACAAGTATGTACCCTTACTGGTACTGTTTCCACCAGAAGCTGCATGATCATTTGTAAGCTACTTAACTATATCAATAACATGCTAATGAATGCTGAAAAGGAAATTTCTGATAGGTACTCTGAACTGTCTGACTCTACACATGTATACAGACCACGAAGATGGACCTTGTACACAGTACATTGTAGCTTCAGCAAATTGTCTTTGCAAGACCATTGCACAAACGAAAATAGTTTGTTGCCGCAATAGCCGCTCATTTCCACGTCTCTCTCATTCCTACCTTTCAATGGTTATTAACAAATTTTGTGACTTTGATTCCAAACATGTATCACCTTTGTGACATAACCTGAAATTTGTCCAGAAAATTTTCTGACAAGACAGCATTGTTCACAGAACATGTTTCCCTATCAACCACCCAAGAATTTTAAAAGAAAATCAAATCTTTCTCCAAAATAAGAGTGCTTGCCTTTTTTTGAAGAAAAGATTTCAGATTGAATCCAATAGAAATTCAAGTATTTAACAAGTGGACAAAAACTTTGTACCAATATTACTTACATCGTAATGCAAACTTCTGTTTGACTATTTTAAATATCTTCTCAAAAAATATCATTTCTAACAACACCATATGTCAAAAACACATTGTGAACTTCTTATGAAACAAGTGAAAGTACAGGTGAAATGAAACTGATGATGAGATCTTACCTGTGTTTGCAAGCACAATTTCTCCGAACTTGCAAATTTATTTTCTCGAGTTCCCATGGAAAATTGTTTTCCGTGTTAATTTCAGGCAACTGCTTGTACTTACATGTGCATCTTTAGCTTTAAGAAAATGTAAAATGGACTGTAAAATACCTAAAACTATTCTGGTACAAGGTTTTTGTCCACTTAAAACTGAAATTGCTTGATTTTCTATCGGATTTTGTCTTAACTGTCATCTTTGTTTTGGCACCCTCTTTATTGATTTTGAGGTTTGGTGCTTTTTTGCAATCATGAGATCCACAAGATCAAAAAAATGGCAGATGTTCAAATTTATTATGATCAAAGTCTCACATCACATGACACCATCATCTTGGATTTACTCTTGAAGTTATGAAGGGGGAAAACCATTCTGCCTTAAACCTACTTTCACACCCTCCCCACACCCACAGACCAAAAAACCCTACAAACCCAGGTTTTAATCAGGCTTAATATTGGTTTAAATCCTACATTGACAACATATACCTTCCTTCTCAGTTTTTAACCTTTCAGCTCTCTCTGCTAAAAGTTGAGCCCTTGGCCACCATGGTACATTTTTGTGCTTTTTAACCATCTCTTCATAATTTTCCTCGGCTCTTTCTTCATACTGATGTGCCTTATAACCAAGCCACAGAAAAGCACTGGTGTAGAATACATGCATCAAGGGTTCTGCAAAATCTTTAGGTTAGTTTCATGTACAAACATTGTACATTTAATGAATTCTGAACCATTGTCTACCATCCCACATGATCCACTTTAAGGTTTGAAGGATGAGGCCCTATATGTATGGTGACACATTTCAAATGAAACTTAACGTAGTATCACTAAGAGCACCTTAACTTAAATACATAAATATTCCGCAGTGGATGTGTAAGAACATAGACAAAACTAGTATGTCATTGCGTTTGCATGTATGTATTTCGTGGCTAGTTTGGAACGTTTGGCTCTGGTAAATGTACTCTTTACTCTGCAGTTTACACCACAATCTGAGCTATATTTCAGCTTACAAGTATCGAACATGCACAATGTACAGGGTAAGCAAGCTTAATACAACTTGGCTCACACTGTTCAAGTGTCGTTCAAAGTGCAATAAAAATAATACCATTACTTACTTCTAAACGCTGGATAACCTCGCACCAGATTAGAGTAACACGATGCAAACAATCCGGCACCTCCAAACCATAGTATTGTCCTTATCATGTCTAACAGCTAAGGAGAAAGACGACTAGTCTTGAAGAAAGTGTACACAAAAATCCAATATGGCGTCTTGTGTATGGGCTTAGCAGCCAAGCTTCTCGAAGTGAGTCGATGACTGCTTCATGTAAGCCTTGTGACAAAAGCCTCAACACAACTTTAGAAGTAAGACTTGCATAGAAGTTTTAGATAGAAATGCGAGGGGAAAGATAGAAACATACATAGGCCCTGAATTAAAAAATGTGTACAAAAATAAATAAATAAATAAATACATGGGAATATGAAATAGCGTAACTGGTAGAATTTTCGGGCCACACTTCGTATTTTCTTTGTCGCAAAGACGGAGGCGCGAGCATCTCGTTCTCACCGCAGGGTGCATTACCTGAAACATCTTCTTGAACCTAAACTAGCAACATGTATGGCCAATGCCCCATCGGTATTCCAAACAAATGCACATCACTTGAACTAGCACCAGCAGGTCACCTGCTTTAGTTTATTTTGAAAGCAGTCATTTCTAAAATGGTCCATTTGTACAATCTACAACTTTTTCTTCTTCCTCTTTGTGGAGTGATATTACCATTCCTGTGCGTCAAAAGCTCAGCTAACGATTCTAATAGCTTTCCTATTGTGGTCAACACGTGGGCTGGAAGCTATAAAGGAGCCACAGACAAAGGTGATAAAACGACTGATTTAAATTTACACATTAGTTTGTTTGATTCGGCTGAATCAAGTGACAACAGAGGAAATAATGACGCCTCTAACATTACATTTATTTCAAAACATCCGTCGACAGCTTGGACTTCTGACAAGTTGTGACATTGTGTGATGACAATATTTCTGATAGGTGCGTCATTACTGCAATATGCGAATATTAAAGTGATATTGTCAATTTGTTTGATAGTACACGAAAGGAATAGATCCAATGAAAAGGTATTATTCAGGTCACATGATCATGGATGTTCTAAAACCTCCGGTATAGAATGCACACTCTGTAATTTTATATAGAACATTAAGCAAGTTTTGATGATACAGGATGGCACCAGTTGATTACATCACTTTTTTGTAAAAAGCACATGTTCATTTCCAAACTGAAGCTCGATATAATATTAGCTTCCGATCTTTATGAGCATTCATAAAGGCGAGCCCGGTTTCGCCTCACCACTGAAACGCCCGGTACATGAAGATTGCCGGGCCCTGCCGATACTGTGTCAACTCTGTCAGTCAAAATTTAATACAGGCATTACATTTTATGACAACTGTTGTTGCATTACGAAGGGTCAAAACAATGCAAAACGTTATTGAAATTCATGGCAGTTCACACCCGTTTAAAGTTTATGATAGGCTCAGTCGGTTATCTCTAGCAAAAATGTTTCACTTTCACAATTTGAAACATTTCATTCTTCTTTTGATTTCGTCGTTTCCACTGTACACCAAAAGCTCTGGTAACTATTCTGATTTCTTTCCTGGTGTCATCAACACATGGGCTGGAAACCATGAAGTGGCCACAGACAAAGGTGATGAAGCGACCGCCGTTTATTCGACTCGCCTGGGGGCGAAATTATTCATGAAACTGGTGATGTTAGAAAATTATTATGCCTGCTTTAAGTTATCTACATTTAAGAGTGTTTAAGAAGTGGTTTGCAAATTGAAATAAGTGTAACATGTCTCATCCGGCCAGTGCAAAGGACTTTTAACAAACCTTTCAGAGGCGTTTTACATTTATTTATTTATATGCCTAGTTACCATTTTATTTCCATTCATTTTGTATGTTATTTTATGTTAATGTAAGATATCAATATGGCTTCATTTTCAAGAAAAATATCAAAACCCACTTTTCTTCTTTGGGCTCCCACACGCCAATCATGTAAACCTGTTTTTTCAGTATTCAATCGTGGTAGTCGATTTTATCGACTTATATATTAGTATAATTTTTATTACTTTGTAACTGAATTTATACACAGGGTTTGATGTGCACCCAAAATCTAACAGTATCGCCTAGTCTATGTAACTTCAACCCTGATCTTTCGCTTGTATCTACCTACCACTGGGAAGCTAAAGAAACGTTTGTGATGTATTCAGCCCGGCCTTCCGTGTACAAACTGTATGATTCAAATACCGACATCTGATTATATTGTGGCTCATGTTATGAGTATTATCTGCTTTCTTGTTGAGAAATTATAATTTATATCTTTCCTACCTGTCACTGTGTTGAACATTAGCATGGGAAGTACTCGCAAAGGGAGGGCCATCTCTAGATGCCATAGAGGAAGGAGTTACAGCATGTGAGCTAAACCAGTGCGGCACTCATAGAGTGACTGTGGGCTATGGTGGAAGGTATTGTACACGGTAACTGCGTCAAGTCCAGTTGCAATGCCTTCTATATATAACCTTTCCCTATGAGTGGGTTGCCTTGTGACAAGAAAAAAATATATATATAAGTGCCCGATAGTTAAGAGCTAAAATTAAATGTTCTTTACGTATAGCACACCCAAAGACATGCAGTGTAACCAATATATTCTCGTTCACATCGTCTTTGAATCTTTTTCTACCACACATCTTCTTCCTAAAAACTGATCCATTCAAAAGCTTTGTTTTTTTCAGTCCTAATGAAGCTGGAGAGACAACGTTAGATGCTTTAATAATTGATGGGTAAGGCAAACGCTTCCCGTACTTTTGAAACGGCCAAATCTGAATACATACTCTTCGAAGCATATTACTTTTTCTTGTTATTTATCCAATGTGATTATACTGTGTTGTATTCGTTTAGAGATTAACAATTCCTGCTAGCGAATAAATCACTCTTCTAAAAAAAGCTATAGTTTTCAAACAGACTAGTCTCCACTGGCAGTCATTGTAAAAAATCATATTGTCAATACGTTGTTGTAGTTTTCACCCCCGCTTTGTCGAATTTTTGCTCGCCCTCCCATTTACGCGCGGTTAAAATGTGGAAAAGCTCTTTGTACGGAAATGCTTGCTACGCAGGCTAGAATTGTTAATGAGTTTGAAAATTAATGTAAATGATTGCTGATTGTCTTCATCATACTAGTGTCATAATTTCTGCAGTGCAACACACGCCGCTGGTGCAGTGGGTTGTTTGAAGCGCGTCAAGACGGCAATTTCTGTCGCTCGAGCTGTTATGGAGAACACCAAAGCTACCCTTCTTGTTGGTGAAGATGGTTAGTAGGGTCTACCCTAGTTGTAAAACAATCTATTTTGAGATTAACATTACTCGTGATATTTGAAATGCGAAATGAGAGAGAGAGAGTTATCCCAATTATTCTTTGTGTCTGCCTTTCCTTCAAGCAACACAATTTGCCCTCCAGATGGGATTCAGAGAACAAGATCTTCATACTAACGAGTCTGTGTAAGTAGTCACTAAATAATAAAATCAGTGAAGGGCACGGTAATTCAATGAACATGCTTTATTGTTCTGTAAGTCATATTGCATTTGACTGAATATTTGTCCACATTTCTGTCAATCAAAGGAAGATGTGGAAAGAATGGAAGAAAAACAAGTGCCAACCAAACTTTTGGAACGAGGTTTGTCTAGGTACATTGGTAATCTTTGTTTTTATAACCAAGATTTTTCAGTTCTATTATTTTCAAATGCTTTTTTTTTTTTCCTCCATCTATAGAATCCTAACTATCATAATAGTGCTAAACACTATGACCATTAAACAAAGCGACTTGCTTTGAGGAACCGATTTCAGATTTCATGTCCTCACTGTATAGTTATCGGACAATGTTATCCCAGCCCCCCTCCTCCGGGGGGCTACTCCCGGAACAATAAGGTGGGGGGTGTGCGGCACGCTTCCCAAAACCCTTACTCTATTTATGCCAAAATCTGCGATTTCCCTACCCTATTTATGACCCGAAAAAGTAGCTTCTTCCAAAAAACTAGCCCACTTCAAGACTTGAGTGAATAAACAATACCCTACTCACGATCAAAATGGCCAAAATCGATACCCTATTTATGAGCAAAACCGTTGAAAACCGTACCCTTTGTGGCCGCACTTACCTATATAACCCATAAAGGGGAGTACTCACCCCCGGTTCCAGCTAAACACTGACCGTATCCTAATCGGTGTTATCAATGATAGTCCAGCTGTAGATGATTTGGTCTGGGATTTCAACTTCCTGACATCACATTATTTAAAGTTTGGTGGAAATTTCTTTTTCGTTGCCGAATGTATTATGATGTATTTGCAGAATGTTCGACCAGACCCTCGTTCCTCGTGTGGACCGTACAAACCCATCAAAGGCAGAAGGTTAGCCAGCTTCCAGATTTTTAAATCCAAGCCAATCAACCAACCAACCCTTTCATCAATTAATTGATCAATCCCTTTTCTATGGTATATGTGCACTACACTGTAACACGCCACGTGAAACTTTGATGAATGCAAGCTTTAGTTACAACTTGTTATGGTTTTGTTCCACAAGATTTCCCTTCCTTTTTGCAATCAAAAACGTTAGCAACTAATAAGCTTCAACAAAAGTCGACAATATAATTGAAATGGGTAAACGTAAATTGTACAATTTAACAGCTCACCTGTGTTTCATCCTCCAGGAATCTCCAAGACACTACTAAGCAAACTTTGTTGGATGATGTAGATGTCGATAATCATGACACCATAGGTAATGGGTGATGAACGAGCTCATCAAGATAGAACAATGGACTTACTCCTGGCCTGTTTCTCTCACCGAGAAACCGAAACATCTGCGTACACTTGCAGTCATCGACTTTCGCCCTCCACCAAACATAGCACCCCACAAACAGTTCGCCAAAACTTTAGGCGCCACGAACGTACGCCGCACAACTCAACTCAATTCAGAACACATCTGAATAATTCGCGCTGAGTAATTCGCGCGCAAACACTTACTCCTGTTACCACCATTTATACTGAAGCACTGTGCAATGACAACATTTCTAATGACTTTGGTGACTAAAATTAATGGCAACTGGCTTTTCGTACTGTGACATCATATAATTAACTGATTTTGTCTGTTTTCGACTTGCCTTTAAGCCTGGGATTTCCAAATCATTTCAGAATGTGTCATGATCTAAGCACTGATTTGCTTTTCAGGTATGATAGCAATTGATCAAAATGGGAACATAGCAGCCGGAACCTCGACTAATGGATTGAACCACAAAATCTCTGGGTGAGTTCCACAATAGATGGCTTCTAGCCAGTAGCGTTTGGTTTTGCTTTTCATCCGTTTTGGCATAATTTGTACTCAAAATTTAACATTATTCATAATTATTGATTTAGCTTTATTCCCGACAAGGAGAGGAAGGGGATTGGGCGGGGCGGGGAAGGGAGAGCTGAAGGACCGTAAAGGGATTCAGTTGAGGGAAGTAATTGATCCATTTGTATAGCCTTTGTTGTACGCATGTGCAAATAATAAAATAAAATATGCAGAGACTGAAAATAGATAAACTGAAATTAAAAAGAATAGTAACATTTATTGCACTTTTTCAATCAAAACATTCCAGTAGGATTTTGACATATGATTGCATCTTTTTTCCCATTGGTAGCCGAGTCGGGGACTCTCCCATCCCTGGAGCAGGAGCCTACGTGGATAAGGACGTTGGTGGAGCCTCAGGGACTGGTGACGGGGATGTTATGTTAAAGTTTTTGCCCAGGTACGCCTTGAACGCACGTTATTTACAGGTTTCTGTGGTTGAAAACTCGCCGAGGTACTGAATGAACACATATTACCCCTCCTCATCATAGCGTTCGCTATTTGCCTTGATGTTTCGTCACTAACGTGTCAAATAATCGACCTTTCTTTATAGCCTGAAGTGTAATTTAAGAGGATTTTGTAGCGGAGGGCAATTGGCCATATTCGTATTCTTGACAGTGGACTGGAACTAGCTTTACACTGAGGCNCAACACGATGCAAACAATCCGGCCCCTCCAAACCATAGTATTGTCCTTATTATTGTCCTAACAGCTAAGGAGAAAGACGACCAGTCTTGGGGAAAGTGTACACAAAAATCCAATATGGCGGCTTGTGTATGGGCTTACCAGCCAAGCTTCTCGAAGTGAGCCGATTACTTCTTCATGTAAGCCTTGTGACAAAAGCCTCAACCCAACTTAGGAAGTAAGACTTGCATAAGATGTCTTAGATAAAAGTTCGAGGGGAAAGATAGAAAGGTACATAGGCCCTGGATTAAAAAATGTGTAAAAAAAATAAATAAATACACGGAAATATGAAATAGCGTAACTGGTAGAATTTTCAGGCCACACTTCGTATTTTCTTTGTTGCAAAGATGGAGGGCACGAGCATCTCGTTTTCACGGCAGGGTGCATTACCTGAAACATCTTCTTAAACCTAAACTAGCAACATGTGTGGCTAATGCCCCATCGGTATTCCAAACAAATGCACATCACTTGAACTAGCACCAGCAGGTCACCTGCCCTAGTTTATTTTGAAAGCAGTCATTTTTAAAATGGTCCATGGTCCAATCTACAACTTTTTCTTCTTCCTCTTTGTGGAGTGATATTAACATTCCTGTGCGTCAAAAGCTCAGCTAACGATTCTGATAGTTTTCCTATTGTGATCAACACGTGGTCTGGAAGCTATAAAGGAGCCACAGACAAAGGTGATATAACGACTGATTTAAATTTACACATTAGTTTGTTTGATTCGGCTGAATCAAGTGACAACAGAGGAAATAATGACGCCTCTAACATTACATTTATTTAAAAACATCCGTCGACAGCTCGGACTTCTGACAAGTTGTGACATTGCGTGGTGACAATATTTCTGATAGGTGCGTCATTACCGCAATACGCGAATATTAAAGTGATATTGTAAAATTATTTGATAGTACACGAAAGGAATAGATCCATTGAAAAGGTATCATTCAGGTCACATGATCATGGATGTTCTAAAACCTCCAGTATAGAATGTACACTCTGTAATTTTATATGGAATATTAAGCAATTTTTGATGATACAGGATGGCACCAGTAGATTACATCACTTTTTTGTAAAAAGCAAATGTTCGTTTCCCAAGTGAAGCTCGATACAATATTTGCGTCTGATCTTTATTAGCATCCACAAAGGCGAGCCCGGTTTCAGCTCGCCACTGTAAACGCCCTGTACATGAAGATTGGCCCTGCCAATACTGTGTCAATTCTGTTAGTTAAAAGTTACCACAGGAATTACATTTTATGACAACTGTTATTGCATTAACGAAGGGTAAAACAATACAAAACGTTATTGAAATTCATGGCAGTTCACACCTGTTTAAAGTTTGATAGGCTCAGTCGGTTATCTCTAGCAAAAATTGTTTAACTTTCACAATTTGAAGCATTTCATTCTTTTTTTGATTTCGTCGTTTCCAGTGTACACCAAAAGCTCTGGTAACTATTCTGATTTCTTTCCTGGTGTGATCAACACATGGGCTGGAAACCATGAAGTGGCCACAGGCAAAGGTGATGAAGTGACCGCCGTTTATTCTGCTTGCCTGAGTGTGAAATTATTCATAAGCTTGTGATATTAGGAAATTATTATACCCGCTTTAAGTTATCTATATTTAAGAGTGTTTAAGAAGTGGCTTGCAAATTGAAATAAGTGCAACATGTCCCATCCGGCCAGTGCAAGGGACTTTTAACAAACCTTTCTGAGGCATCTCACATTTATTCACTTAGTTAACATTTTATTTTCATTCATTTTGTATGTTATTTTACGTTAATTAATGTAAGAAATCAATATGGCTTTTCAAGAAAAAGATCAAAACCCACTTTTCTTCTTTGGGCTCCCACACGGCAGTCATGTAAACCCGCTTTTCGGTATCGTAGTAGTCGATTTTATCGACTTATATTTTAGTATGTTTTTTTATACTCTGTAACTGAATTAATACACAGAGTATGCTATGCACCCAAAATCTAACAGTATCGTTTAGTCTATGTTACGAGACAGAATCAGTTTGCTTTCATATTTCAAACCTATTATGTTTTAGTCTTTTAAGTAAGTCAACTTGATATAACTTGCACAACGTTTTCCAAAGGTTTATCAATGCTTCCACGCCGATCTTTCGCATGTATCTACCACTGGGAAGCTATAGAAACGCTTGTGATGTATTCGGCCCTTCGTGTACAAACTGTGCGACTCAAATACTGATATCTGATTATACTGTGGCTCATGCTATGGCTATTACATGTATCTGCTTTCTTGCTTAGAAATTATAATTTATATCTTTCCTACCTATCACTGTGTTGAACATTAGCATGGGAAGTACTCGCAAAGGGAGGACCATCTCTAGATGCCATAGAGGAAGGAGTTACAGCGTGTGAGCTGAACCAGTGCGGCACTCACAGAGTGACTGTGGGCTATGGTGGAAGGTATTGTACACGGTAACTGCGTCAAGTCCAGTTGCAATGCCATCTATATATAACCTTCCCCTATTAGTAGGTTGCCTTGCGACAAGAAAAAAAATCTAAGTGCCCTATAGTTAAGAGCTAAAATTAAATTTTCTTTACAGCACATCCAAAGACATGCAGTGTAACCTACATATTCTCGTTCACATCGTCTTTGAATCTTATTCTACCATACGTCTTCCTAAAAACTGATCCATTCAAAATCTTTGTTTTTCAGTCCTAATGAAGCTGGAAAGACAACATTAGATGCTTTAATAATTGATGGGTAAGGCAACTTTTGAAACGGCCGAAATTCTGATAGATACTCTTCAAAACATTTTACTTTTTCTTGTTATCCAGATGCGATTATACATGTTGTATTCGTTTAGAGATTAACACTTCCTGCTCGTAAATAAATTTCTCTTCTAAAAATAGTCATAGTTTTCAAACGGACTAGCCTCTACTGGCAGTCATTGTAAAAAATTATATTATTGTCAATACGTTCTTGTAGTTTTCACCCCCTGCTTCGTCGAAATTTTGCTCGCCCTTCAATTAACGCGCGGTTAGAATGCCGAAAAGCTCTTTGTACGGAATGCTTGCTGCCCGGGCTAGAATTGTTGATGAGTTTGAAAATTTAAGTAAATGAGTACTGATTGTCCTCGTCATACTAGTGTCGTAATTTTTGCAGTGCAACACACGCTGCTGGGGAAGTGGGCTGTTTGAAGCGCGTCAAGACGGCAATTTCTGTCGCTCGAGCTGTTCTGGAGAACACCAAGGCTACCCTTCCTGTTGGTGAAGATGGTTAGTAGGATTTACCCAAGTTGTAAAACAATCTATTTTGAGATTAACATTATTCGTGATATTTGAAATGCGAAATGAGAGAGAGAGAAAGTTATCCCAATTATTCTTTGTGTCTGTCTTTCCTTCAAGCAACACAATTAATTTTGCCCTCCAGATGGGATTCAGAGAACAAGATCTTCATACTAACGAGTCTGCGTAAGTAGTCACTAAATAATGAAATCAGTGAAGGGCACGGTAATTCAATGAATATGCTTTATGTTTTGTAAGTCATATTGCATTTGACTGAATATTTGTCCACATTTTTGTCAATCAAAGTAAGATGTGGAAAGAATGGAAGAAAAACAAATGCCAACCAAACTTTTGGAACGAGGTTTGTTTAGGTACTTTGGTAATCTTTGTTTTTATAACCAAGATTTTTCAGTTCTATTATTTTCAAATACTTTTTTTTCTCGATTTATAGAATCCTAATTATCATAACAGTGCTAAACACTATGACCATTAAACAAAGCGACTTGCTTTGAGGTACTGATTTCAGATTTCATGTCCTCATTTTATAGTTATCGGACAATGTTATCCCAACCCCCCGGGGGGACTACTCCCGGAACAATTGGGTGGGGGGTGTGCGGCCCGCTTCCCAAAATCCTTACCCTATTTATGCCAAAATCTGCGATTTCCCTACCCTATTTATGACCCGAAAAAGTAGCTTCTTCTAAAAGGCAAGCCCACTTCAAGACTTGAGTGAAAAAACAATAACCTATTTGTGATCAAAATGGCCAAAATCGATACCCTATTTATGAGCAAAACCATTGAAAACCGTACCCTTTGTGATCGCACTTACCTATATAACCCATAAATGGGAGTACTCCTTCTCCCCCCCCCCCCGGTTCCAGCTAAACACTGACCGTATCCTAATCGATGTTACCAATGATAGTCCAGTTGTAGATGATTTGGTCTGGGATTTTAGCTGCCTGACATCAAATTATTTAAAGTTTGGTGGAAATTTCTTTTTCGTTGCCGAATGTATTATGATGTATTTGCAGAATGTTCGTCCAGGCCCTCGTTCCTCGTGTGGACCGTACAAACCCAGCAAAGGCAGAACGTTAGCCAGCTTCTGGATTTTTAAATCCAAGCCAATCAACCAACCAACCCTTACATCAATTAATTGATCAATCCATTTCCTGTAGTATATGTGCACTACACTGTAACACGCCAAGTGAAACTTTGATGAATGCAAGCTTTAGTTACAACTTGTTATGGTTTTGTTCCACGAGATTTCTCTTTCCTTTTGCAATCAAAAACGTTAGCAACTAATAAGCTTCAACAAGAGACGACAATAATTGAAATGGGTGAACGGAAATTGTACAATTTAACAGCTCACCTGTGTTTCATCCTCCAGAAATGTCCAAGACACTACTAAGCAAACTTTGTTGGATGATGTAGATGTCGACAATCATGACACCATAAGTAATGGGTAATGAACGAGCTCATCAAGATAGAACAATGGACTTACTCCTGGCCTTTTCTTTTTCTTTCACCGAGAAACCGAAACATCTGCGAACACCCGCAGTCGTCAACTTTCGCCCTCCACCAAACACGGCACCCCACAAACAGTTCGCCAAAACTTTAGGCGCCACGAACGTACGCCGCACAACTCAACTCAATTCAGAACACATCTGAATAATTCGCGCTGAGTAATTCGCGCGCAAACACTTACTCNCCCCCCCCCCACGAGCTACTGGCTACCCTACCACCTCGTGCGGTAGGAATGTAAACAAGAATTATTCAGAACACATCTGAATAATTTGGGCCTAATAATTCGAGCGCAAGTACTTACTCCAGCTACTACCATTTACACTGAAGGACTGTGCAACGACAACATTTCTAATGACTTTAATTTGGTGACTAAAATTAATGGCGACTGGCTTTTTGAACTGTGACTGGCATCATTTCATTGACTGATTTTTTCTGTTTTCGACTTGACTTTAACCCCGGGATTTTCAAATCATTTCAGAATGTGTCACGATCTAAGCACTGATTTGCTTTCAGGTATGATAGCAATTGACCAACATGGGAACATAGCAGCCGGAACATCAACAAATGGAATGAACCACAAAATCGCTGGGTGAGTTTCACAATAGATGAATGACTTCTAGCCAGTAGCGTTTCGTTTTGCTTTTTATTCATAATTGTCGATTCAGCTTTATTCCCGACAAGGAAAGGAAGGGGATTCGGGGGGGGCAGCTAAAGGACCGTAAAGGGATTCAGTTGATGGAAGTAATCGATCCATTTGTCTACAATTGTGAGCATGTGCAAATTATATCATAAAATATGCATAGACTGAAATTGAATAAAATAGTAACATTTATTGCCCTTTTTCAATCATATCTGTTACTTTGTATTGTAAAATTTTTTCCATCCTTAATTCCATTCACTTACTCTTTTTTACGTTATGAGGGCGGGCAAAACACTTCAGTAGGCTTTTGACAAATGATTACATCGTTTTTCCCCTTGGTAGCCGAGTCGGGGACTCTCCCATTCCTGGAGCACGAGCTTACGTGGATAAGGACGTTGGTGGAGCTGCAGGGACTGGTGATGGGGATGTTATGTTAAAGTTTTTGCCCAGGTACGCCCTGAACGTACATTAGTCACAGGTTTCTGTGGTGGAAAACTCGCCGAGGTAAAATGAACACATGCACATAACCCTCCTCATCATGTCGTTCGCTATTTGCCTTGATTTTTGTCACTAACGTGTCAAATAATCCCCCTTCAGGTTTTAAATAGCCTGAAGAGTAGTAAGATGATTTTGTAGCGGAAGGCAATTGGCCTTATTCGTGTTCTTGATATTGTACTGGAACTAGCTTTATACTGAGGCTAATGCGGGCAGTCAAGAGATCATAGCCTCTTCGCGGTGTCTTTTCAAATCCAAACTTCATGAGCCTCCATTGCAAGCTGTTCCAGTTCAATACCGAGAATACAAATATGGCCTATAGGCTACTTTCTAACACGGCCCCAAAGCTTTCAGGACAAAATTGCAAATTTGTTGAGTTTCCTGTGTCTCCCAAAGGAGACTTGTATATAAAAAAGCACCTCCAAATATAGAGGTTTGTCCTGAACGTCATGTAAGAATATTGATATATCGAAAGTGGCCTATTGCAAGTGTTACTTTGACACCTTTTCCTTTATCAATAAGACTGCTACTGTATCCACGGGCCAATCAACCTTAAACTTCGTTTCCCGTGGCTATTAAGCGATACGTTGAATATCAACGCCTTGCAAAGACGGCTCTGTGCTAACGTTCAGTCTAACAATTATAAAACAAGGGAATTACAGAGGTTGAGTCTGATGCAGAATGAACATTTTTTTTTTTAAGTGATTCCTTAGCCTTGGAACTAACTTAGCATTTTAATATCTACAGACATTGGCCTATTCGCCCTGTCTGTTAAAACACCACCCTGGCATGAAAAGATGGGCTTTGAGAGGAATCCAACTCACCGGCCCATGAACAAGCTTTGTAGGCAGTCTTTAAACAACTTGCATAAACGTGACAACCTGATACTGTACTTTTGTCTCATAGTTTCCATGCAGTTGAGCTTCCCCGTCAAGGTTACAGCCCAACACGGGCTGCCAGAATGGCTCTTAAGAAAATAGCGCAGTATTATCCAACCCTCAGAGGGGGACTGATAACTGTGACAAAGGATGGCAGAGACGGCATTGAAAAAAAGTACTATAGGGGAACTATCATGAACTTGAATTCGAAACTTAACAAAACAAAGTACATATTTCCGTTAATAGAAACCAGGAGAGTATTGATCTTCTCTTGTAGAAACCTAAAATTAATGATCTAGTTTTATTAAAAACAAAAGTTGTGAATGGACATTGTCAAAATTTACCTTATAATCTCAGATTTGAGAAGTTTGAGAGACTTTTCAGTATCTTTCCTTGTGTCTTGGAAAAATCGATAAGAACTAATCAAAACCTGCTCGCTTTTTAACAACTCATTTCATTTCTTCCCGTTGCCAGCAAAGATTCTGTGTACTTAGAGGAAGGCCTGAATGAGGATCGAATAGCCAATTGAGAATAAACCCACACTTAACAAGTCCAAGATAAAGTTCATGTACATGTTGATCGGGTCTAGGCAAAAGCTGGGTACTTCTAAATAATAGTTATCCGACTCTTACCATCGATGGAAGCTCTTTAAAGTAATTTGCGTTTTCAAAATGTCTTGGGAAACTGATATAGATGGAGCGTACATCTTAATGCAACTTCGAAAAAGATTTCATTTAAGGAAGAAAGTTTAAAGAGAATAAGACGACACTGAAACACTAAAATTAATTTTCTCATTAGCTTTACTGCTGCGTTGCTGTACTAATGCTTCATACCAAAGTTAGTAAAACCCTCCTAATCTACGACAATATTGCAAAACCATAGCTTTGTTGCAACCAATATACTTTCAGGCGATTGGCCGGTTCTCCTCTTAACTTCTTCTTCCTCTAGTAGCTAACATAAGGCCAATATTTCTGGTAGGAGCCACTCCACCCTTTATGGAATTGGCTATCTGAGCTACCTCCGTTGGTTATAAATTGTATCCACAGGTAGAGTTTTCCCGTTGAATAGAAGGAGCCGGTGGGAATGGAGTGTCCACTCCAGCCGCTGGTTAACACAACTTCACCAAATCTGTTAAAATCATCATAATGAAAACAGCATTAAAAGGGATGGCACAATGACTTAAGGATAGTGCACTGCAATCCTAATCGTGGGGCCGGGTTCGAATTCGAACGTGTTCCAGGGAAGTCAGGGTACATACGTAAGGCATAACTTTCTTAGCTTCTATCCTCATTTCTTCCTCCAAAAGTAGATAAGTACTAGTTGATTACTAGGTCATCCAAGGGGTAGAAACAGCACTTTAATATCCAGTTTGTTTTTTACAGGGTGGATAACGCTATCCAATGGTTAAACCACTACCCAGGGGATAGCATAGTTAGTTTTGTTACCATAAATTGACCTTCCACGCGAAAACGTACACTAATGGGTATCCGTTCGAACGGCTAAAAACCGTTCGTATTGCGATTTGGGGTGGAATACCTGATTAATATAACTGGTTTGACAAGTTTGTTAACCGAGATTTTTTAAATTGCCTTCTACGCAACGATATTTCGTATTGTTTACGGTCATCACCACTTAGTCCACGAAAGTATACTATAGAACTGCTGTGTGGGGTGGCGTTTTTGCTAGGGACACATTGCTGGTAGTGGTTGTGGTGGTGATGGTTTTGGGCCGTGTTTACAGGTAGATAGAGTACCCTAGTGTTAGCGGGTTGCCTTTTTTCATTAACGTGTTTACAAGACAGCTAGGGTTACCCTAGTACTAGGGTGGTAAGGTAATTCTACCTGTGCCGTGATTTTGCTTGTAAACCTGACTATCATTGACCCTGTTGCTAAGGTAAACCTAGCATTAAGGTTAACCTTTCTGCGTGTAGACAGGGCCATTGCGCTATCGTTTTAGATTGCGAGGTTTTAGTGGCTATCCAAATTAACACACTAATTTGCGCAGAGTACCAAATGGACAAGAAAACAATGTTACAGCGTACCTCCCGGCGTGGATCTTCACCAAGTCATAGGTAGTTTCCGTTGAGAAGTCAGTGAAGATAAAGTCGGGGATGTCCACGGTGCGATGTACNTGCCGTGATTTCCTTGTAAATCCGACTATCATTGACCCTGTTGCTAAGGTAAACCTAGCATTAAGGTTAACCTTTCTGCGTGTAAACAGGGCCATTGCGCTATCGTTTTAGATTGCGAGGTTTTAGTGGCTATCCAAATTAACAAACACTAATTGGCGCAGAGTACTAAATGGACAAGAAAACAATGTTACAGCATACCTCCCGGCGTGGATCTTCACCAAGTCATAGGTAGTTTCCGTTGAGAAGTCAGTGAAGATAAAGTCGGGGATGTCCACGGTGCGATGCACCAGCCACACGCAGTCGAGGTTATCAGCATAACCGTTCGGGTAGCCTGGTGACGAGATTATGCCACTTCCATCTTCGTATACGCCTCCACAAGATGTATCTAGGAAGTTACAAACACATGATTGTCTATGAGTTATTGTGAAGTGTGAATGTTTTTAGCTTACCGTGACGGTTCGCTCGATTTCAGTTCTATTTACTTCTTAAATACTCTTTTCTTTTGGCCATCGTAGCTTAACAAGAAATAACACACAAACTGCGGTGATAAAC